GGAACAGGATCATTTAACTGCTCGATTCGTGGTTCACTGGCTTGTTTCTTTGAACACACAACTGTGGCCGTGATTGTGTGTTCGTCTTCCCGTTTTTTTGACAACGAACACATGAAGGCTTATAGGTATTTGCTGCCCCGCACCCATAACACAAAATTCTGCGTTTCGACTCGCAATCCTGGTATCGATGCCCTTCCTTGCGGCAATTCCAGCATATTAGCGCCATTGCTCCGACTTCTTCCTCACCGTCTACATCTGAAAACTCAACTGCGTCATCCGGCAGGGCCTCTTCAACCAGTTCTGACACTTGCTTACGGAAAGGCACAATTTTCTGGTATCCCTGACTTTTCTTTACATCATCCAGGAAATTCTCCCTGCGACGACATATCTCCCTCAGACGATCTACCAAAGGAATCGAGAGATTTAGCAATTCATGCCTTATCTCGGGGCGCAGATTTCTCTTTACGGTCTCCACCGTTTCCCGTTCCGACAGAGGATTCTCCAGGTTGTCCATCAGCAGCACAATTGCATCGTAAAAAGAGTCGAAGCTTTCTCGATCCCGATGCTTACGATCCCGAATGGCCTCCCTAAGGTCGACGTCTGTTCTTGTATCCCTAAATTGCTTTCGCAGAGCTTGGCAGAGAAGATCCCACCGCAAATCACGGGTGGTTTTGTGAAATCGCCAGAAAAATTCTCTGGCCTTACCATCAAATAGCAGGCTAGCGTTGCTGCAAAGAACGGCGAAATTGCTTTCGAGCGTTTGGTGCGTGAGTGCCTCTACTCTATAAATAAAATTATCTACGCTAAGTCCCTCTTGACTGCCACTGAATCGCAACTTCCAGCCATTCAGGATATGGCCCACCTTATCGGGTCTTTGCAGCAGATCGGAGACCGCGCTCCTTGGAGTGTCCCTAGCTGAGACTATATGGTTGGCCGATTGTGGCCGGTCAAAACCAGCTCGAGGCTGGGTCTCATCCTCAGGCGCTCGTCCTCTCTGAGAACCTATCTCCATTGGCCGAAGGTAAGCTGCCATATTTGTCTGAATGAGCTGGGCCATTTGACTAGATAATTGAGCGAGCAGATCGTTTTGCATGGCTTGCACAGCTTGGGTCACAGTGCTAGTTATAAGTTCCGTCTGTAGTGCCGCCAACTCTGTTGACTCCCTCGACAAGCTAATAACTTGGCTGCCACGAGCAGGTGACTTGTTACGACTCTGCTGCCTGGTGTTCTTGGCTATCGGGTCTGACGCTGTAGCTGCCTTATCAAAACACACTGTTTTGCATGTAGGGCAAAAATTTTTCGTCTGAGCATGGGTGGTGAGACATATTTTATGGAACTCATGCCCACATTTGGTTTTATATAAAGAACCTTCACCCAAACTCTTCTCACACAACGCGCATTGCGGTGTCTGTTCAGCGTTTGCCTCCCCCTCGTCATCGGATCGGACCATCATGATTTAATTAAATAACTATATATAACTTAAGAAACTAATTCCTACCTAGCTTATGACCTACTTGACTCGCTACACTTAATCTGTTGTTTACCTTTCCTAATAAATGAGGCTTTGCTGCTTTGTTTTGGACTGAATATGAAAAACAAACGACAAAGAAAGACTCGAGCCACCTCAAATACGAAGAGAACTCCTACACAAGTAACACCAAAAAAAAATATTAACTCATTCGCCTCTGTCGTGGAGAGCTATACAAAGCCAGACTCAACGAATACAAAAACCAAACAAATAAAAAGAATATGTAAAACACAAGAATTCGGAACAAACAAAGATAAACAAGATCATAAAACAATTTGACATCAAGCATACCCGAAACCACATAGAAGAACCCTAATTAGCTTGAGAACCAGCAAACCGCAAAACGGAACAAAAAAACAACAAAAACTGCATAGCGCATAGCCAAACAACAACAACAACCTTTGCATTAGCGGTGGACAGCGAGCGACCGAACTGATCGGCTTTCGTCTGTGATCCATGCCGCTAATCCATGCACCCTGCATCGGAAAATTGAGCATACCTCTTTTGCTCCTATCTTCCGTGGCAAAGCTTTCGTTGGCAAACGAAATGAATTGAATTCCTATGCGGAAGATAGAAGCTGATTGAGCCCAATAACTTAGAATGTTGATACCCTGCTCGACCTTCATCCGTGGTCAAAAATTGAGTTGCGGACAACTCGAAATCTGCAAATCCAATGCGTCTGAAGGACCGACCCTATGGACTCAACAATTTCTATAAAGGAGATTAGAACAGTTTTTTGAGTATCTTTTGTCTACCGTCCTCCTTCCTCTGCCGTGGCTGGGCGCCTGATAGATTTATCTGAGCCACTCCATTTCCGAAGCGTCTAAGGAAAGAGCAGAGCTAAAAGATACCTTTTTACTGCTGTCTTAAAGTAAGTGGGTGTGTGAGCTACATCTGGGTGATGTGGCCCCACGTTGAGCGCCAATTTCTAATTATAATGATTATCTATTAAATAATAAATTATGAATGTAACGAATCGCATTCCAACTCATTATTCTCAGGCGCGGTGTTGGGCATGGGAGAGAGAGGAGAACGCTGTATATTCCGGCTCAGGCTCGTCGGCTAGGGGGGTGGTGATCTTGCTCCCCTCCCATGATTGGCCTTTCTTCACTATAATATCATAAATAAGTTGCGTGCTAGGGACAAGCGAAAACCGGGATAGAGAATCCCACTTACTTCCGACCAACAAACAACACTAAAGGGAATGGAACTACTCCGCTGCACCTGCTGGTTCTCCTACTACGACCTCAGGTGTTGATGAGGCGTAACATGCCCACCCTACCGATGGCCATTCTGCCCCCTGGCCCGCATCCGAATGGCCCCTTCTTTAGGGCAACTCTTCTAGGGCATGGGATTAGCCGATGTCAAATACAAATTTGCTACTAGCACATTATAAAATTTATTTACGAACTAATGATTATTGATTCCCAACGACATATCAAAAAAAAAAGAATATAAATACAGGTAAATATAAATAAACGTAAATAAAACAATGAAGATAAAAGTGCAAATAAATATAAATGATTAAACATAAATAAAAAAGATCAATACAAACAAAAATTTGCGCTCCGCTTGAGCTTTAACCCTACTGCCAGCAAACAAAAAGAGACCCACAAAGCAGACGAGGAAAAAGCACTCAACTCCGAGTGAAACGTCCGTCTCTATTGCTGTTCTTTTTCTCCGCGCCGATCGATGCTAAACCTTCGACTCAGTTAACGGACCTATGCATTGTTTGCCGCTTTTGATCGGACCTGAGTAATAATGAAACAAATTTCCACTCATACCTTTTATGCAGCTCGTTGCTCCATCGACGAAAGCGCTTTCCTCGACGAACACCTAGGATGCTGTGGGTGGAGAAAAATTGCAAAGTATTGGGCCGGGAAACATATTAGCATGGATCGGTGGTGAAGACGAGGGCCAGCACTAACGGAATTGCACAAAACTCCCTAACCCTAATTTAACTCAATTATTAAACTATATATTTTTTTTTTCCCTTTCAACACTTCACTTAATTCTACTGTCTTCTCATTTCTCCACTCCTGCCTTCCTCCTCTTCCTTCTTTAGGGTGAAGAGAAGACTAGAAAAAAACTGTTCTTTCTTCCGCCGCCTTAAACTTTTGTCCAGAAACGATCAAAACTTGGCTCCCGCGGTTATGTTCTGGCCTCTTCTTCTACCGATGGTGGGAGGTGTTGGGGACGTTAGGGAACGGGAATCATACACTACAGCACACGTATTTATGCACTCCTCGGTGCACCCGCCGGTATATATGACGACGCCTGGCTGTTCGACACTAAATCCAGCTCGACTGGATATCTCTGCGCTCGCCTCTCCGCTCTGCCGAGCGCGTTTTAGTTGCAGCCAACAACAACCAATAAATGCACTTTTAATTTCGTTTTCTGCTGCTGCTGCTTGCTTGCCGGCTTCAACTGGTTGCATCCGCAACTCAACACAGTTTTTAGTGGAGTTTTTTGTTAAGCGCCAAGACTAAGGAAAAAGATTTCTTGACTTCTTTTCTCCCCATTGCTTTCCCCTGTCTTCTCGGTAACTTACCCCAAACGGACTCAGCGCTATCTGGGTTTTCCGGTGGTCGACACAACCTTCACCCTCTTCAAACTCGGCACAATCACAGTAACAAATAGAAACTTAATAACCAGTACCGGGGAGCAAATTTTCGCCCTTATTGCGGCCACTACACAACCGGCTCGATCGACTTTATAGAGGGAATTGACGAGATGGACGCTAGCGTTCTGGCGCCAAGTCCTCTAACAGGTCCACGGCATAAGAGAGAGTTGACATTTGAACCTGTTAGCGCATTTACTTTCCGCCTTGACCCTATATTCGCTAACCCACTTGAGCACTAGATGGCGCCACTACAACCCACCTATTTTTCCTACTACAAGCGCTACACGTGTTTCGTGGGAAGTGCATAAAACATACTCGGAAAGTCAGCAGTTTAATATATTGTACTAACATTATTGTGTGCTACCAGCAGAAATAACGGAATCGGAACCGCTTGAGTTCATATATACAGCATAATGGTGTGTGCGCTGTTTGGCTCCGTTGCATTTTCGGTCTTCGCTTTCGCCCTCGGTGCTGGTGCAGTTCAGTTACATACATACGTACATAAATACGTACGGGTGTTCGCCGTTCTTTCGTAGTTGCAGCTTTCTACCTGCATTCGCTGCCTTTAACCGCACTTTCGCTCGCATCGTTAGATCTGCGCAGACGGCTCGAAAAACTCTGTTTCGTGGAGAGTTTACCGTAAACTAGACAATCACATAAACAAACTAAAAATTAAACAAAAATGAGTGACGACAATATAAACATCGCGTCCGCCTCGGATGTCTGCCTGGGCAGTTCGGTACTGCCTTACTAAAAGTGAAAACCCTTCTGCAGCGTGAGTTAGGCAAGAACTCAAAACAGACGCATTGTTCCACTTTTCGGATAGATCCCAGTGAATCGCAATCCATCATGTATATGGCCAATCGATCGCGTTTGCCGCAGCTGCAGCTGCCCAAGTTCAGCGGAGCCTACACCGAGTGGTCAAGCTTATATTCAATGTTCACTGCTGTGATTGATAGTGAAGCTGATTTGACTTGTATCGAGAAGTTGCAAAATTTGCGATCATGTTTGAGCGGCATGGCGTTGGACACCATTAGTTCGTTGGAGATAAACCAGGCCAACTATACGACTGTAATAGATATACTTAAAAAACGATTTAGTAATAAACGTCTCATCCTACAGGCACACATTAAAGAGGTATTTGGGCTGGAGCGAGCGGATTCATCGGTTGGCCAGCTACGGTCGATTACGGACTCCGTCACCGCACATCTCCGCGCGCTGGAAGCGCTGGCAACAAAGGAGGAGATCGCCGATTGCGTAATCGTTCACGCAGTCGTGCAGAAGTTGGACAGGGCGACTCAATCGAAGTGGGAAGGCTCGTCGAATCAAGATCTCTGGCGAGAAATTGTCTGCCTTTCTGGACAAAAGATGTCGTACCCTGGAAAATGTTGATCACGCCCTGCATGGGAATTCTGGTCAGGTTAGCAAGCCAGTAAAGACCGTGAGTACGTACCCTAAAAAATCATTCGTTGCATCGGCGGCCTAAGGCTTTTGCGAGCTATGCCTTGCCCAAGATCATTTGATTTCGCAATGCAAGCGCTTTGAGAAGATGTCTCCTAGAGCGTGGCATAAAGAGTATAAGCGACTGTCACTTTGCATTAACTGCTTGCATAAGGGCCATCAGATGCGAGACTGCCGATCAGGTCCCTGCCGTACCTGCCAATCAAAGCACCATACGCTGCTTCATTACATGCCATCGCCGTATCCACGCAGTCTATGGACCAAGCTCGATGGTCGCAGTTTCGCCCAGCGCTCCCCAATCCTCTCGTATCTCGTCTGATGTGCTTCCGGCAACAGCTGTTATGCTCATCAAGGATCTGGCTGGCACGTTTGTACCACGTCGAGCTCTCTTGGATTCTGATTCCCAAGTTCATTTCGTCACTTCTCGGTTTGTGGAGCAGCTAAAACTTCGCAAAATGAAATCGTTGGCTGCAGTTTCAGGCATTGGAGACGTCAGCTTTTCCACACAAGGTTACTCAGTTGATCTTGTCCTAAAATCTCGCATCTCGGAGTATTCAACAACCATGAGGGCCGTTGTAGCTCCGCGGATAACAGACCAGCAGCCTAACCATTCATTCAACATTAAATCTTGGAGCGTACCGTCGAATATACAGCTTGCTGATCCATCGATTTTCGTACCACAGCGAATTGATTTGTTCATCGGAACAGATCTATTTTTTGAATTGCTGTGCGTTGGCCAAATCCATTTAGCTTCGGGATTGCCATTGCTGCAAAAAACACTCGTTGGATGGGTGTTCTCGGGAGGCTGCAATCGATTGCGCCAGTCGTCATTGCCCCATCATTCGTTGCATCGCAAAGATCAACGCATGCGCCTTCCCCAGTTGTCCAGTTAGATAAGTTGGTTCGTCAGTTCTGGGAAGTAGAACATGTCTACGAGCCAATCTCCAAAGGTTAAGGAGCAATATGCAGCATTCATTAAGGAATATTTGTACCTCAAGCATATGTCGTCCGTGCCTAGCTCGCAAGTACATGAGTGTAAAAACTTCTTGTCACACCATTGCGTATTGTATACGGATTATGGATTAATAATATTGGTATTAGGTCATAAGGTAAATCTAATTTTTTATTTGAAAATGTATGTGTTCAAAAAACTTTATTGTACATTTAACAAAATTACAATCTTTATATTGCCCTAGTTTTCGCAAAATTACAATACTCGACAAAATTTAACTTTTTATTTACGCTTCGATCAGAACCGACTTTTTCCGATAGATTAAATTTTTACAGCTGTACTCAAAAAGAGTTAAGGGGTATATTAGATTTTTGGTAAAAGTGTGTAACGCAGAGAAGGAAACGTTTCCGACCCCATAAAGTATATATATTCTTGATCAGCATCAATAGCCGAGTCGATATAGCCATGTCTGTCTGTCCGTCTGTCTGTCCGTCTCAGAGACTTTAAAAGCTGTGCACACAAATTTGGTTTCCAGACTCATGTGATATCACACTGCTACAAGTGTATTTCAAAATTTCGCCCCGCCCCCTTCCGCCCTAAACAAAAAACGAAAATCTGTGGCAGGCACAATTTTAAAGATACGATAAAACCAAAAACGCAGTATCGTAGAGAATGAATATATCTACCAGATTGCCTAATCTGAATCAGATCAGATCATAATTATAGCCAGAATGAAGAAATTCTTTTTCAGTTGCTTTCCCCGCCTCCCAAGCCAGAAACACGCTATTCATTCTCTTTCTCGCTCGCACACTCTGCTGCGTTCAGTGCGCGAGCAACCCCTAGCGGAGGAGATGTAGAATCTAAATGGAACATGTACAATCTACAAGTTAGATGTAGAACATACATTGTAGATGTAGATAAGAGATGTAGCAAAAAAAATGTAAAATATTTTTTTTAATTTTAAAATTCTAAAAAATCATAAGCTCAAAAATGTATATACTGACTGAGTACGGGTATAAGTAGAGTCTCGTCTCCAGAAGCGGATCACACGTTCCTTCTTGTTGTAATTGTCTTCTCGAACTACTGCTAATTTGTTTCATTAAAATAACATTTTTTGGTATAATGATCGATATGCTTCTCTTTGGGCTACCATGTGTCTGCACTTAGCCGAACAGGGGTTTTTGACATAAATGCAATGGCAACGGGAAGGAACGTATGAGTCGCTTTTTTTGCTACATCTGTTATCTACATCTGCAATGTCGATAAAACATCTAAAACAGGGGTGCCAAAAATCAGCTTACGGCGAAGCACTCACCAATACTCACAAACAAAAAAACAAAACCAATAAGGGAAAAGTGCAAACTCGAAGAAAAAACAACAACAAAATCTAAAAAAAGTCGGGTTAACAACAATCAGAGAAGATACAAAACCCGGCTTTTGCTGGACGCATTGCATACACACATATTTGTTTGCATGTGTTGGGCTTTCGATACTATGGATACAAGAATTGGTTTCCTATGCTGGGAGAAATTACAAAAACAAAAGAGCTCGCGGAGCAATGGGTCTGGGCAACCCTGATCTAAAATTCAAATTATACATCTACAATGTAGATTCTATATCTTCTCCGCAAAGGAGAAGAGTGTGTGCGAGCGAGAAAGAGAATGAGTGGAATGCGAAAGCAACTGAACATTAATTTCTTTATTCTGGCTATAATAATGATCCGATCTGTACCAGATTCGGCAATCTGATAGATATAGTTTCTATGATAGTAATGATCCAATTTTAAATTTTTATACCCGTTGTTAATGTGTATTTGTGTGTGTGTGTGATTTGGTATGCATACGGTACATAAACCGTTTACAAATTTGTCGTCGCAACTAGAACTTGAACCAGTTGGACTGCGGAGAGGGTTTCCTACGTCGAGCAAATGAGGGTCTGAAGACACGGCGACAGCCTCTGTTGATTGCAGTTGTAGAGAATGAGTGAACAGGCTGATGGTACTGTTTCTGTTACTGATTTTATTCAACAAACTTAATTTCTATTTATAAGTAACAAAAGGTACAGAAAGTGCTGAGTCTAGTAAGAATATGGTCAAAGGGAATTGGAATTAATATTGAATTAATTTGGATTTAATATGATATTGTGTTATTGGGCAATTGCACCAGTGTTTTTGCCCTCTGAAGAGCGATCGCATCGTTGGCAGAAATGGCTGCAGAAGCGGTTATTGTTGACTCAGCTACAATGCTTTGTCGTTTGTTATTATGTCTCCCGTTACATGGGTCGACCTGACTTATTCGATAGGTGTATATTATGTAATATTAATTAATGCATAAATATGCGACTGAACATTCTCCCGGCCGTTGAACTGGTGTTCAACCATCGCCCAAGTCGACTGAAAAGCGGCGTGGAATGGGGATCGGGGGTGATGATCCGCGTGGCTCTGCTTGGTTGATTGTTGACGGCCTTGGGTTCCATGATTGATACTTCTTTCGGAGAATGAACGCAATAATCAATAGCATTGATATTGCTAGGGCAGCATAAGTAGCGATTTGATGATGCTGCACTGTGTTGAGATGGTGTGGCAGCCTTTGTTGATTGATTGCCACTAATTGCAGGCGTAAATCTTCCAATTCTTGAAGATAGTCTGATGTCTGGTTCTCCAATTGTACAGTTGCTGGCGAAGGGGGTGTCGTTGGTAAGCGTATGTCCCCAAATCGAGTGTAGGTTGATTTGACTTCACTGATTGTTGTGCTGAAGGTACTGATGCTTATTTCTGTATTGCGAGCAGTGCATCCAGGTGACAGTGAGAGCAAGCCAGTTCCTTCTAGTTGTACGGTTGACGGAGACCCGTTGCAAACTGCCTGAAGTCTCATTGTAGAGTGTGTTGCAAAAATCCATTTATTTGCTTTCTGAGTTTTGGACCACACCATGTCCGCCTTCGTGTGGGTCACTTCACATAAAGGTACTGTTTTATTGTTAAACAACTGCAACTCGCTGTGAGTTGTCGACATTGAAGACTGTTTGTTGATCAAAGCAGATGTATTCTGCGTTGAGTAGTTTAAAGCAGCGTCAAAATTCTTCTGGAGTAAATCCCATGAATTGATCTCGGTGAGTGTTCACAGTGATTATGGTCGTTTTGAGATTGAACAATCTCCAAGTTGTTGAGTCCCAGACCGGAATCGGCATGATACTGAAAACTTCGAGCTGAACTGTTGAAACTAACGGTAGTGTCACCTTGAAAATGACGTGTGTGGCAGTCAGTGTTCCTTCGGCTCGCATGAGCCTGTATAATTGTATCACATTTTGTGTTGTGACAGCCAGCATTTGATCAGCTGGCAAAAGATCCCGGATTTGGTCTAGTTGCTCTCTTAATTGCTCAGGAGATACTAGCGTTGGGCTTATTGTCCGATAGTGAATGCCGATTAATACATCAGATATGTCAGACTGCATACGTTGAAGACTCGTTGTCAGCAAAGTTAGTTATGCTGTGAGCCCTAGGTATGACTGAATTAGATGATCGCCGTGATATGTTCTTTTTCTTGGGGGGGGTTCTTGTTGTTCCAATATCTTTAGGCGGTTGTCCATGGCTGACTTTTTCTTTTTTGGGATCCTTCCTGATCACGTTCATTGTGGGGTCCACAATTGATGTTTTATTTTTTTTGAGATGTAGCAGAAAATCTTCGTTGGTTTGTAACTTTTCGATTACTTTGGCCATTTTCTCAGCATATGTGTTTCTTTCCAGCGGTGATCCAAAGCGTAGTATACAATCATGGTCCATTCGGAAGTGGTCATTCTTGAGGTTCCAAGTTTCTCATAGAATATTCCAGGCTTGTTTGCAAATTGCGTCACATTTATTGATTGTGAAAATGCTAATGGCAGCATGAGAAGTAACACTTACAATGTGGATGTTAAAGTAGGTAATGATAACTGTTCAGAGTGAGGATGGCGCTGGCGGGGCAACCGCTTGTGGGCATTCCAGCCACACATCGCTGTTAGCGTTCCAGCTACCCAAGCGGTCGCCCTCGCTCTCGCCCTCGTACTTAAGAGCATTTTTCCCCCCGGCGGCGCGCTCTCGCGCGCTTATTCACCACGCTGGCGCTCCCGCTCACGCTCACGCTCCCGCTCTCGCTGCCGACAGCCCTCGGCAGCTGGAGTACAACCGATCGAGCTTCAATTCGTTTTTCCACCCAACGCAAAACGGCCGGCTTTTGCTCGCGACATATACTTATACATATAAAGAACAAACCCCCGAAATATATATTTGAAGAACCCGGATTCTATCGCCTTTTATCTTGGGACTCTTTGGTGGACACCCTGAGACGCCTCTACGCTCAAACATTGGTCCTTCGAGCCGGATCCTACTGCTTCCCCAAAAGCTTCTCCAGCCTTCGAGCACGGCATCGCCTTCACCGCACCAGGGAATCACAAGATAAGTACGCTTGCCTTCTTTACCATAAACCGCCTCCATTTAGCGGTTTGTGCTCCAGAGAAAATTCCGCGAGTTCAAAGTGCCGCGACCGAAGTACATATATATAGTCTTATATATGTACTCTCGCCATCTCCGTTATCCGTGTCTCTTCTTTTTTCGACACCGCCATATTATCGGCGATTCCTGCCGTTCTCCCGTCATTCCCCTTCAACTACCAGTGATACGGTAGTTTTTTCCGATTACTTGTGTCTGTCCATGATTTGCGGACAAATTAAAAAAAAAAAAATTAAAACCAAAATAAGTGCATTCCGCGCATATGTATGTACGCACATTCAAGCCCATAAGAGCGGCTTGCGTACATACACACACATCTACATCCGTGTCTCAACAGGTGCATTCCAGCACGACCCACCCCAATCAAATATACCATGGCACGCTCCAAGTGCAAGTGAATTCACACACACATACACTAATATTTCTTCAGTGCGTTCCATTCGCGGCCTACCCCAATAATATATACATTGGCACGATCCAAGTGCAAGTGAATTCCCACACACCTACATTGATATACAGGTCTCCAAGAGCATTCCATCCGCGCCCTACCCTAATACAATATACACTGGCACACTCCAAGTGCCAGTGAACACACACACATACCAACATATACACATTACAGCAGCAATAAAAGTATCCATCCAGCTACCTGTGTTTTCTTAATTAAATTTATTATTTATTTTATTTATTTATTTATTACATTTACTTGCATAGTTGGCTCCCAACTATATACATACATACACACATTCAACAAAAATACCAAATAATTAAATACCGCATTCCACCACTCCGCGCAAGTGCCATATTTGAAAATCCGCGATTAAGTGAAATTCGTGCCCTCCAGCCACTTTTCGCAAGGTCCCAATTTCTCCCACATTCTCCAGAGTCCAAATTAATTACTCGCGACCCAGGCACGGCGCATTTTCCGTAATTATTTGGCAATTTACATTACAAATTGGCAAATTGTGTTGCGTGTTTTGATATTTTTTTTTGTTCCGAGAGTGAGAGGTGGCCCAAAAAAAAAAACTATCGGCATCCGAACCCGGTGTTCATCCGAATAGAAAAAAAAATTAGTTAAATAATTAAATACTCCGACTACGTCCAAGAAAAACCTCCGAGTCTTTTTTGTTCACAAACAAAAAAAAATATTTTTTTTGTTTTGACAAAGAAGTTATTGTTGTTCCGTTTCTGTGAGGTGTCCGTGCCTGCTTCCAGTGATTCCGTCCATCCGATAGTAACCCAGTTCCGCTCACGACTGCGTCAAGGGGTAAACGGAGGAGCATCGCACAGTCAATATTTCCAAATATTGCTACTCCAGTGTGACCGTTCCTCTCCTCAGCTCGGCTCAATATAGGGTCACTCATTGTTTGAGATTTCTCACCTACAGGTGACCTCAAACAATCCGAGTCGTTCCGATTATTGCCTTCCAGCTAGCTTGAGGCCTTTTGTCTGATAGTCCGTGTTTGGGTTACGGGTGTTTCCTGACGGTTCCGAGTCAACTCTATTCAGACCAGTCTGCAGTCCCTCACGGACGTCCAAAAAAAACCGATTTTTTCTTGCGTGGGTCCTTTTAAATTATGCCAACAGGTCACAAGGACGGCAAACAACTTTTGCCTGTGACCTCGTCCAACCGGCTACGCACCTCGTCCGCCTCCGGAACTACTCCGACACAGCCAATCAAGGCATCCCTCACTCCGAGAGCAGCCAGTAGCAGCCCTGCTACAAGGACCAAATCGGTCCTATTCCCGTCTCCGGTGACCCTTAAGGTTCCATCGGTGACTAAACAGGATCCGAAAGGCTGCATCACTAGTCCCGTCAGCTCTCGCCACTTCACCACAATGGCTCAATCCGCCACCTCTGCCGCTCGGACCAAATTGGTAGCCGCCATTGGCCGACTCTCCCACCTGGCAGAGCGTATCACTTCCGCCCCATCCGCCTCTCTGTCCGAGGTCCGCCGAGGCCAAATCCTCAGCATGTGGACGGACGTCGAGGCCGAATACAAGGCCTGTTCCGCGGTGATGGCTGACGAGGATCCAGAAATCCAAGCGGACATCCGGGAAACATATGGCGAATGCTATGGGGTGTTTGAGCAGTGTCTCAGCGACCTCAATGCCCAGCTGGCCCCCTCCGCAGTCCTTCCTCCCGCACATCCAGTCCAACAGGGCGGCTGTCGACTGCCTCCCGTCAATATTGAGGTTTTCTCAGGGGACTACGTCCGCTGGCCCACATTCCGGGATCTGTTCACCGCGGTCGTGATAAACAATCCAAAGTTATCTCCGGTAGAGAAGTTATACTACCTCACCGAGAAGACCAGGGGCGACCCAAAGGCCATTGTAGAAAAGTCCCCCCTCACGAATGACGGTTTCGAGTCCGCCTGGTTGGCTCTCCGCAGCCGATATGAGAACAATCGGCTTCTGGTGACCAACCAAATTAACATTCTCCTCTTCTTGCCCCGCGTAACTTCCGAATGCAGTCGGGCTTTGAAGGAACTTCAAAGTACGATGCAGGGAGTCCTAAATGCGCTAGCGGTCTCCAACGTTTGCACGGACAATTGGGATAGTCTGCTGGTAACTATCTGCGCTTCAAAGTTGCCGAAGCTAAGCCGCGCCTTATGGGAAGCGTCCGTGACGGACAAGAAGGAAGTGCCGCCCTGGAAGGAAATCGACTCCTTCCTCACTCAGCGCTATTTGACGCTCGAAGCTATTGAGAGCGACCCTTCCACTTCCCGAGTGGCTACGAATCCGCCACCCTCCCAAGGCGGCCAGAATCCATCCACTTCTTGCAGCCGATCCAATCCATTCCGGTCGCACGGCAGTTCGGTGCCGAACAAGGTTCTTTCTTTCAAGAACCAAGTGAGTCCGAAGAAGAGGACGTGTGATCTCTGTTCCAAGGAGAATCACCCGATCCGACTATGTCCGCGCTTTCTCAACATGTCCGCTGATGCACGTTCCAAGTGCATCAAGACAAGACAGCTGTGCCTAAATTGCTTCGCAAGAGGCCATCAGCTTCGCGACTGCTCAAGCAGCCACAATTGTTCCACTTGTGGAGCCAGACATCACACGCTTCTGCATCGTTCCGCGCCTCCGTCCAACATGGCGGCTTCGACATCCGCCCAAACCCCCAGCGCGTCCGATTCTCAGCCCAACGTACAGAGCTATTTCTCTTCCAGCACAAGTACCGTTCTTCTGGGCACAGCACTCATTAATATTTGCCACCTGGGGACCAATTTCCGTGCCCGCGCTCTGATCGACTCAGGCTCCGAAGCGACGTTCATCACTGAACGCCTCTTTAACATCATTAAGCCACCGTTCGAAGCTATCCAGGCTCAAGTCGCGGGTTTAAACCAAACCGTAGCGGCTAAGGCGCAAAAGCGTTGCCACTTCATGATCGGGGCCGCCTCCAGGCCGGGCCTCAAGATCGAGACCACGGCATATGTTCTGCCTCAATTAGCAGGCAACCTTCCTTCATATCCGATACCGCAGCACTTCTTGGATAACCTTCCAAACCTCCAATTGGCAGACCCTTCCTTCCACCGAAGCTCGCAGATTGATGTGCTTCTAGGCGCTGACATCCTTCCTGCTATCCTGCTGAGCGGCTTCCAGTCTGCCATTTGTGGCTCGCTGCTGGGACAAGAGACCATCTTCGGATGGGTCCTATCCGGTCCGGTATCAGCTGACTCGGCTCGGACGGTTTCCGCCTTCACCACGAAGCTCTCGTTTAATTCGGATGTCCGACTCGAGAAGCTTCTCACCAAATTCTGGGAGGTGGAGGACCTTCCGGGGAGACCGACGAGCGAGTCCGATTCAGTGTGCGAGGAAAACTTCCTCCAGACCACTAAACGAACCCCCGATGGGAGATACGTGGTTACTCTCCCTTTCAAGTGTCCAGAAAAAGTCGAGCTAGGCCACTCCAGAAGCGCGGCCAAGGCCCAGTTCCTTAGAAACGAGCAGCGGCTGCAGCGGAACTTGCCGCTCAAGAAGCAGTACGACTCCGTCATTCAGGAGTATTTAGAGCTCGGCCACATGACAGCGGTTACACCTAGTCATGATTCCGGCCATTTCTACCTGCCACATCACGCCGTGTTTAAACCCGACAGCACCACAACCAAATTGCGCGTAGTCTTCAACGCCTCCAGCCCGTCTTCCAACGGGAAAAGCCTCAACGACACGTTGCATGCTGGGCCAGTCCTTCAGTCTGACTTGACCATGCAAATCCTGAGGTGGCGCGTCTTTCGCTACGTTTTCAATGCCGACATCAACAAGATGTATCGGCAAATCCAAGTGGCTTCCCAACACACGCCCTATCAGCGAATACTGTTTCGCGACCGTAACGGGGACGTGTGTGACTACGAGCTCACCACTGTCACTTTCGGAGTCAACTGCGCACCGTACCTCGCCCTCCGCGTCCTCAAGCAACTCGCACAAGAGGTGCGTCCACAGCTGCCGATGGCAAGCGTCATCCTGGAGAGCGACATGTACGTGGACGACGTGCTCGCTGGTGCTCACTCTCAGTCTCAGGCAATTTCCGCCATTGCTGAACTACGCGAAGCACTCGACTCTGCAGGGTTTCCGCTCCGAAAGTGGACAGCTAACCATAAGGGCGTCCTGCGCGACATTCCAGTCGACCACTTACTCCGCGCTGACTTCCTAGAGCTGGAAGAGAGTAGCATCGCTAAGACGTTGGGAATCCGATGGCAAGCCAGTGCCGACGAGTTCTTCTTTTCGCCTCCCGCTTTAAACGAGCGACAATCCTGCACGAAGCGCAATGTGCTGTCCCAGATCGCGCAGCTCTTTGATCCAGCGGGATGGCTTGCCCCCTTCGTCGTCCAAGCGAAAATATTTATGCAGGAGATTTGGTTGAGAGAGTTAGGATGGGATGACGTCCTTCCTAACGATCTGTCTCAAGCCTGGGAGACATTCCTGAACAGCTTTCCGGCCATCCAAGGGATCCGCATTCCGCGGTGGTTACACGTCTGTCCGATGGCCAAGGTACAGATTCATGGGTTCTGCGACGCGTCTCAACGTGCCTATGGGGCAGCGATCTACGTCCGAGTTGAGCGTCCGCAGGGCATTGTGTGTACCCTTCTCACAGCCAAAACCCGCGTTGCCCCCGTGAAAACAGTCTCGTTGCCTAGACTCGAGCTGTGCGGAGCTGTCCTTCTGACAGAACTCTCCGTGGCCATCCTTCCTCAAATGCCGCTCGACGCCAGCCAGGTGTACTTTTGGACCGATTCCACTATTGTGTTGGCCTGGTTGAACAGGCCGGCATGTGATTGGACCACCTTTGTAGGGAATCGAGTCGCCAAAATCACTCGCTGTTGGCCCCGCGAACGATGGAGCCACGTCCGATCCGAGGACAACCCGGCCGACCTCGCCAGTCGAGGGCTCGGACCCACTGAACTGGTCGGCAATGACATGTGGTGGCATGGCCCTGCGTGGCTGCGTGGTCCGCAGTCGGAGTGGCCTTGTCCACGAGGCTCAATCCTTGAGACCGACTTGGAGAAACGAGCCGTCAAGGTTCACCACGCCACTGACACAGCCTCGGACATTCTCAGCCGATTTTCCGAATTCGGACGCGCTCTGCGCGTGATCGCCTACGTTCGGCGGTTCGGCCTGCGCGTCAGAGGGCAAGCAACGCCAGTCCACGTATCCACAGAGCTAGACAATAAAGAGGTCGCTGCAGCTCTCCAAGCTGTCACCATCACGACCCAACGCTCCCATTATACGGCGGAGCATCGCTGTCTTGTAAACAAGCAGCCACTTCCGACTACGAGCTCTCTTCAGAACCTCAATCCGTTCCTGGACCAAAACGGAGTCATGCGGGCATGTGGCCGGGTCCGAGCCTCGGCATCCATGACCTACAATGAGCGGCATCCAATCCTGTTGCCACCCGCATGCCTCCTGGTTCGCCTGCTGGTTCGATTCACCCATCACGTATCCCTACATGGTGGGAACCAGCTGGTCATCCGCCTTCTCCGGGCAACATACTGGATCCCTCGACTACGTCACGTCGTGAGGGCAGTAATCCACTCCTGTAAGGTCTGCGTCATCCAACGCAAGCGACTCCAAACCCAATTAATGGGCGACCTTCCTTCCTCACGAGTTACATTTTCGCGGCCGTTCACATACACCGGAGTCGACTTCGCCGGGCCGTTCGACGTGAAAAGTTTCACAGGACGCGCCTGTCGCATCTCCAAGGGGTATGTGTGCGTTTTCGTTTGTTTTACCACGAAGGCCATCCATTTGGAGGCTACGTCCGACTTGTCCACCGACACGTTCCTAGCCGCCTTCGCCCGGTTCGTCGCGAGACGAGGCTGTCCCCACGAAGTCCACTCCGACAACGGGAGGAATTTTGTCGGCGCATCCCGCTCTCTGGCTGTGGACCTTCTCGAGGCCCTCCGCACTCGGACCTCCGCGGTGTACAGCCAGCAGGGGCTCACGTGGCGATTCATCCCTCCAGGGGCCCCACATATGGGGGGCTTATGGGAAGCGGGTGTGAAGAGCTTCAAGGCTCTTTTCCAACGGTCGATGTGTACTTCCAAATACACATTAGAGGAGTTCGCGACCTTTCTCTCCAAGATTGAGGCATGCCTTAACTCGCGACCAATCTCTCCTATGTCTGAGGACCCAACTGATCCGTTGGCCTTGAGCCCAGGCCATTTCCTGATTGGTGGTCCGCTACTATCCGTGGCCGAGCCAGAAATACAAGCGAGCGCCTCCTCCATCCTAAACCGCTGGCAACATCTCAAGGCTCTCAACCAGCAATTCTGTTCGCGCTGGAAGACAGAGTACCTGCGAGAGTTGCACAAGCGCAACAAATGGCAGCATCCGACAAGAGACCTCGAGGTTGGAGACCTCGTGGTGATCAAGGAGGAGAACATCCCCGCTCAGGAATGGCGTCTCGGCCGTGTGCAGAACGCGTATCCTGGAGCCGATGATAAGGTCCGTGTGGTAGACCTACTCACGGCCCGCGGCCTTATCAAGAGACCGATCACGAAGGTGGTTCTGCTGCCTATGGAATCGGATGTCCTGTCCACCTACTCGCGCGGAGGCTCCGATTCATAAGCCTCCGTCCCTTTGTTCTGCGTAAATCCAACGTAGTTATCCGTACCCGTATCCGTACCCGTATCCGTATCCGTATGCCAACCCATGCCAGTTTGTTACTAATGCTCCGGTGATTCCTTTCTTTCATCCTAGTTTTTTCCAGAAAGTAGATATGGCCCCGCAGACCGCATCACGTTCCCGATCCAGCCGCAGGTCGGATCGCACGAGGGCACGAGGGAAGACTTCCTTCCAGTGTCGAGTGTGCCCCGGAGTTCACCCACTAAGGAACTGCCGGAAGTTTATCCGGTTGAGCGTCGAGCAGAGGCTCCGAGCCGTCCTTCTGCACAAATACTGCTCGAACTGCCTGGCTCACGAGCACTCGGGCAAGGACTGCCGCAGTGGAGACCTCTGTAAGGTGTGCTCCCGGAACCACCACACTCTGCTCCACCTGCCCGGGGGGTCTCGGCGCCCTGCTGGACCCTCTTCGGCTCCGTCGACTTCACCCGGGTCTCGGCGCCCTGCTGGCTCCTCTTCGGCTCCGTCGACGTCACCTCCGTCTCGGCGCCCTGCTGGTTCTTCCTCGGCTCCGTCGACTTCACCTAAGTCTTCCCGCGCCAAACCACGACCTCGTCTTCCGGTCAGCCGCCCTGTCGTCGGAATTCCAATCCCGACCGCAAACTCCTTGCTCCAGCACCGGAGCATCAACGTCCTCCCGACGGCAATGGTGGTCCTCGCAGGCACCAAGATGATGAGTGCGCTGATCGACCCCTGCACGCCGGTCAGCTGCATCGACGCCGAGGTGGCTAGGGAACTGAAATTGCCCACTACCTGCATCGGGGACGAGCGGGTGTGCACCGCCATGATCCGGGCGAAGATAGGAGATTTTAAGGTGGAGGCAGTCTTCAAGATCGAGCCCCGTCTGCGCATCCGTACGCCGATCCGTCCACTGAGCGACACCGTCCGTGCTCGCTTCGGCGACTTGAAGTTGGCCAACGAGGAGTTCCACAAGCCGACCACCATCTCGCTCGTCTTGGGTGCAGATTTGTATCCAAGGGTCATTCAACCGGGGTTCCTCGCCCGCGCAGACGGCCTTCCCGTGGCTCAAAGCACGGTGTTTGGATGGATCGTGTCTGGTGCGTGCATGCAGACGTAAAAAATCTTTGCATTCCTGCAAGGGGGGGGAGAATGTTCAGAGTGAGGATGGCGCTGGCGGGGCAACCGCTTGTGGGCATTCCAGCCACACATCGCTGTTAGCGTTCCAGCTACCCAAGCGGTCGCCCTCGCTCTCGCCCTCGTACTTAAGAGCATTTTTCCCCCCGGCGACGCGCTCTCGCGCGCTTATTCACCACGCTGGCGCTCCCGCCCACGCTCACGCTCCCGCTCTCGCCGCCGACAGCCCTCGGCAGCTGGAGTACAACCGATCGAGCTTCAATTCGCTTTTCCACCCAACGCAAAACGGCCGGCTTTTGCTCGCGACATATACTTATACATATAAAGAACAAACCCCCGAAATATATATTTGAAGAACCCGGATTCTATCGCCTTTTATCTTGGGACTCTTTGGTGGACACCCTGAGACGCCTCTACGCTCAAACAATAACCTTTTTCGCTGTGTTGGTGGCTCCTCTGTTTCCGCAATGTCTTGAATAGCATTTTTGGAGCGTTTTGTTGCTACCTCCTCTGAGAATAATGGGTCGAGACGACTGATGGGGCGTTTGTATACACCGGACGATGTTTTGACATCAACCACTCGTACATGGTTGTCTTGCCCAGGATAAGTTTTGATAATGCGACCCATTGGCCACTTCATTACTGGAAGGTTGTCTTCCTTCACCAAAACTAATAATCCTTCGGTCACGTTTGGAGCGGTGGTGTTCCATTTATGCCGAGCTTGTATTCGTGGAGGTATTCCGTAGACCATTGTTTCCAAAATGCATGTTTTAAGCGTGAAACCAATTCCCAGCGCTTAACCAGAGGTTTTTCTTGACGATCGGTGTTGACGTCAGGTGTTGCGGTCAAAGGTTCAGCGATCAGGAAATGCCCTGGAGTAAGCGCACTTGTATCCGTTGGATCATTTGACATTGGAGTTATAGGTCGGGAGTTGAGAATTGCTTCAATTTCGATTATGACTGTGTTCAGCTCCTCAAACGTCAAGGATGCTGTTTCTGTGGTTGTAATTAGCAGCCTTTTCGCTGATTTTATCGCAGCTTCCCAGAGGCCGCCAAACGATGGGGCCCGAGAAGGAATGAATTTAAAATCCATTGTGTCAGAGCATATGCCTTTTCGCTAAATATTGCTTCTGTCAATTCCTTTAGCTTGTTATTTGCGCCGACGAAATTTGTTGCGTTGTCGCAATGAATAGTCTGACACTTCCCGCGTCTGCTAAGGAATCGCCGGAGTGCTGCCAAGAATGCATCTTTGTGGAGAAGCAACAGAATACGGCAATGTATACCTTATCTGGCCGTTTTCCTCGGATTTTATGGTGGATCATAATTGGTCCACAGTAGTCAACGCCTGCATTAAGGAATGGGCGTGCTTGCGTGACTCTGTGCTGGAAGATTGCCCATGATCTGGTGCATCAGCTTTGGTCTGCCTCTGGTGCATCTAATACAGCTATGTATGATGCTTCTAGCCATCGCCTTGTCGTTGATGATCCAATATTGTTGTCTTGCAATTGCCCTTAATGCTTGGGCACCGCAATGCAGATATTTCTCATGCAGTTCTCGCATAATCATTTTGACTATTGGGTCGTTGTACGGTAGCAGGATTGGATGTTTTGCGTTGAACGGAATTAGAGCTTCTTCTAGTCTTCTGCCAACTCGGATGAGTTCATCATCTCCTAGTATGGGAGATAACGAAAAGATCGAACTCTTTTTATCTACTTTATAGGGCTTTAACGGTTTTAAATCCGCTGTGAACTCAACTTGTTGTATCGTTCGTAGGATCATAGTGCGAGCACGCCTTAGTTCTCCTGCGCAAAGTGTCGTTGTAGGCGCTCTATTAGTTTTTTACGCTACAATACGTTGTAGTTTATTAAACGAGTTGCTGTGTCTGCATGTGTATAGCCCTTCTCCAAGAGAGCTAGATGCGATTGGCAAGCTGACATGCTTAGCCTTTCTCTCGAGACTTCTGGGCTCAATGATGGTTAGTTCTGTCCATTTATCTTCTGATCCGTGCAAGAATAATGGTCCGTATAGCCATAGGCTACGATCCCTTAACTTGCTTGCTAGGATTCCACTTGAAAAGACATCTGCTGCGTTGTTGGCTGATGAAACATGACGCCATTGTAATTGGTTAGTCAATGCCTGGATTTTGGCGATTCGATTTGCCATGAAGGTGCATTATGTGGACGCCGATGCGTTAATCCAGGACAGTACAACGGTGGAATCAGTCCAGAAGCTTCCTGATTCTGTGTCAAGATTCATATGGAGATCCCTTCTAACTCGATTGGTGAGTTCGGCACCTAAAACTGCAGCGCACAGTTCTAGACGTGGTAGGGATTGTTTGGCGGTGGGTGCTACTCGAGACTTTGAGCATAATAGTCGTACAGAGACCTGATTGTTTTTGTAGGTGGCTCGTACGTACACTGCCGCGCCATAGGCTCGTTCCGATGCATCTACAAAGGTATTCCATCATATACGTGCCGGGGAATCTCCATTGAGTTTAATGATTGTAGGTCCTCCCGGTACTCCATCCATTCGTTTTGGAGTTGTAATGGTAGTTCATCGTCCCAATCGAGTTTAATCTCCCACAGCTGTTGCATAAATATTTTTGCCTTGACTATCACTGGGGCAAAGAGACCCAGTGGGTCAAAGATTTGGGCCAATTCTGAGCACACGACCTTTTTGATGATGCGTGTTGCTTGGCTTTTTGTGGTTCGTCCTCGCAGTTGGTCTTGTTTTGGCATCCAAATGAGACCCAGCGTTTTCACGCTGTATTGCTCTAATGTTTCACCTAGTTTGACGTCGTTGACAACGTCCTCTTTAGGGATTCCTTGCAAGAGCTGGTCGTTGTTGGAGCACCATTTGCGAAGTTTAAGGCCGAACGGTAGCAATATTTTATTAAGTTCTTGTTGAACTTGTATCGCTTCCTGAATGGTATCCGCGCCAGTAAGACAGTCGTCCACATAGAAATCGTTCTTCAATGCAGCAGATCCAATAGGTAATCTGTTTTGGCTCCGAGTTGCCAAATGATCCAGACATTTCGTTGCCAGAAATGGAGCAGATGTGGTCCCATATGTGACTGTTTTTAAGCGATAGTACCTGATATCTTCAGATGGATTGTTTCTCCAGACTATCATCTGATGAAATTGATCCTCGGGATTTATCCACACTTGTCGGTACATTTTCTCGATGTCCGCTGTGAATACGTACTTATGTATACGAAAAGGTAGTAGAATGGACATAAGTTCACTCTGAACTGTGGGTCCGGCATGCAGAATGTCGTTTAGAGACTTTCCTCTTGTTGATTTACATGATGCATCAAACACGACCCGTAACTTTGTGCTGGTGCTCTCAGGATTGAGTACACAGTGGTGTGGTATGAAGTAGTGTCTCTCCGGCACTTGAGTTGCTGGGACCATCTTCATGTGTCCAAGTCCCTCATATTCATTCATGAATTCCACATAGCCTTTCCAGGTGTCTGGTGAAATACGTCGCTCTAATGCCAGGAATCTTTTCGTTGCAGTTTCCAAAGACCCCCCAGGGCTGAAGAGTGTTCGGAAAATGGGAGTTTTACTATCAACCTGCCATCCGATGCTGTTTGTAAGTTCTCTATAAAGTGAGCTTCGCAATGTGCTTCGATTGGCGTGCGTGGTTTTTTTTTCGTCTCTAAGTTGTCCAGAGTCCAGAATTTTTCCATTAGCTCGTTGAGTCCAATTGCACTAATGGATGCGGAGTTGTGTGCATACTGAATTTGGCTGTTTTTGATCTGGGAGTAGTAGCGAATAATAGTGTTCTGCTCCGATGAGCATGTCGACCTTTCCCGGTTTATAGAAATCCGGATCTGCCAATGGGCAATTG